ATGATATTTTGATCCAATATATGCCTTTTTAATTAAAGATGTATTTATGGATTGCTCTATTTTGAAATTTTTAAATATTTTTAGTGAGTTTTTAAATCTGAACATAAAACTAAAATATTAATATAAATTTGTGAAAATAGTTTATATATATAATTTCTTTTTATAATATTCAATCAAAAAGGCATATATTAAATCAAAATATCATTTATTTTACCAATATTTCAGTTGGCTGAACGCCACATACTATCTACACATATTATCTATTATGATGCATTAGCGCGCCATCTGTTATCTTCTTCTTCTTTCTTATTTCCACTAAATCGTATTAAAGTATCAAGATTGTAAAGCTTGTTGATGGTGTCTGCCGGGGGACAACCATCATTACAGGGTGAAGTAGAATGCGTCTGCCTTTGTCATTAAGACTGGGAGCACTACTCATTGGCAGGCCGACTTAGATCAAAAGAAATGGACGCCTCTGACATGAGAACAGACGCCATGTGCAGCCGCTCCTAACATTGAGTACAAACTCTGCTCACCCTGTATTCCTGGATCTGGAGACCTTACAGGGTACTATCAGCCGGGCCAGCTGAGCCCAGGTTTTTATTGAGCTTGTTACTGCTCCCCCTTCTCCTATTTCATCCGGGCTTGGGACCGGCAAAGACGGAGTTGCCATCTGTTATGAAAATTCGAAACTATTATAGACGCGTATGATTAATTTGAAAATTAAACAATTACTACAGTCCTTATTTCACAATGGAAAAAATTAATTTGATATTTGCGGAAGAGAGATTGCTCGAAGCATATTATATATTTATAATTGTATGTAATTCTACTGTTCTCAAAGCTTATGTCCATATTTAATCTAAAATACCCATTCTAAGAGTCCAGCATCAGTATCATTATAAAAAGAAGATCGAAAATTTAATATAACAGCGGTATGGTAGATTAAACTGGCGAAACCGATGAGAGGGTTCACTACTGATGAGCCAGGCCCTCCTATTATTTTTTCCATTGCAGTAAGGGCAGTAGAAATTGTTTAATTTTCAAAATAATCATACGCGTCTATAATAGTTTCGAATTTTCAATATTATCAATGTTTAAAGTATTATACTATTTTCTATTAACATGGTTCTAGTATTTCGAATGATCAATACATGGAGAAACTAGGATACAAAGCCTCTACATCAAATTAAACTACTATTCATTGTAGTACTTCTGGATCTCCGTGTTGAAGGACATGTTAGCCCGAAAACTCGAGAAATAAAAGAAATGAGAAAAGAAACCAAACCCTAGATTCCTTATTTATTGTATCATAAATTTATATATAATATATATATATATGTGATGAGGTCCGGTAGCCTCTTGTAGAATCTTGTCGACTAAAACTGTGGTGAAGTATCCAGTCGACTTAATCTATGGTATGAGTCCCTGTAACTCTCGCTATACTGTGTTGACCGAGAGGAACAGTCAGGATAAAGAGTTTCCAAGTACCTCTCTGCACCTTGTAAGACCTTTAAAAGTCCTCACAGAGTACAGGCAGTCGTGGTGGAGGCAGAGTGGAAAGCTTGGGGATGTCCATACACAAAAAACGAAGACACAGTTGCACTAAGAAAGTTCCGTGAACAGATAAAAGTTGAGCTAGGAGCGAAAGATGGAGATAGAAGAATTCTTACTGGTCTACATGGTGGATGAGGTGGACCTGGGGTATAACCGACGAGCTCTCACACAGATGGTGAAGTGACTGTATTTTTGGCTAGGACGGAGGCTTTATATACATTTTCTGAGAAAGGGGGTTTTGCATTTCATCAGATGTGAAGAGTGTGGGTCGTCTGGTGACATTCTAAACTGGCGCCGTCCTGACAGCTTCCAATCTATCTTTAGATATTGTTTGTGACTTCCATATATCCCGAATTTAGACGTTTTTGACCTTTTGCGTTAGCTCAACTCTTAATATATTACAGAGTTTTATTTATTTATCCTCAGTTTGTACAAAGTACACCACATATGATGATGTAATGACACATGTCAATCATGCGTTTAATACTTTACAGATGTGTTTCTATTATACAACATGAAAATCTTGTTATAAGTTATATAAAATTTGGGGTTGTTGGCTTAAATTACCATATATATATATATATATGAAAAAACAATAGAAAAAATATAAGTGGGTCAGGTGTTGATATTAAAAATAAAAAAAACATCTCCTGACCACGAGCACATGTGCTTTTTAGATGGCATAGCGCCATCTAGTGGAGAAAAATAAACAAAACGTTTATTTAGCTTGCTCCGTGATATTTGGCCAACCCAATTTCTTGACAAATCAAGAAAAGCCATCCACGAACGCGTTTCGCGCTGTTGGCGCTCGTCAGCGTGGAGTAGGCTGTAACCACTGCGACCAAAAATATTTTTAGTCCCAGAGGCTTACTGAGAAATCAAGAAATGGTTATTTAAGGTCAAATTTGCATAAAGATGCTTAACACATGGAAAAACAATAGAATATTTTTTAATTAAAAAGGCATTTATCGGATTAAAATATAATTTATTTTACCAATATTTCAGTTGGCTGAACGCCAACCTTAATCAAGGTGTTATAACATATTTAATGTGTGTGCTATATATAATATTAAATATGTTATAACACCTTGATAAAGGTTGGCGTTCAGCTAACTGAAATATTGGTAAAATAAATGATATTTTGAACAAATATATGCCTTTTTAATTAAAGATTTATTTATGGATTGCTCTATTTTCAAAATAAATTTATATATATGAATAATAACATATATATATGGTTATTCGTTCTGTGTATATACGAATATTCAAAAATTATTCTACATTTGTTTAATATTTTCATTTGGGACTAGAAATACTTACTCATCAACATCGCCACTATTTTTGAGAACGTTTTGTAAAAAAGATGTTCTCATATTAAGCATATTGTAGAGGAAATTATTTTTCTTGATCTCTATCTGGAACGCAAATTTCGTATACATCATCTTGAAACTCAATATACATATATATGTGACAATATAATGAGGTGGGAAGAGAAAAAATCACACCACAAGTTGGAAGAGGAACCCAGGCAACCAGAGAGAGAGAGGGAGATTGAGATTGAAACTTCTTTATTACATCGATGATGATTACCTCCCAGCAAAAGTCATCCTTTTGCATAGTTGGTTATAAACAATCGTAATTTCATTTCTGTATGTAAATTTAATCATAATTACATTTTTCTGTATGAATATGAATATATATCTTTGTTGCAAAAAGTGAAAGCGATGATAGACTAGGGTGTGACGGTGCGGCAATCGGCTACTAGTTCCTGCTGCCACCACGAGGGGGTGCTCATAACGGAAGTTCCAGACCTACCACCAAGGGAGCTATTATTCTAACGGCCGGTCAGCTCTGCCTTTGTTTGATATTGTATATAATCATTTTTTGTATATTTCATTTTTATTAATAAACAATTTACTATTAAATAATCACTTCCCGATATTTTGAAAATTTACCAAAATCTTATGTTACATTAGCGTGCCATCGTTTATGAAAATTCGAAACTATAATAGACGCGTATGATTCTTTTAAAATTAAACAATTTTTTCTACCGCCCTTACTGCAATAAAAAATAAATGAGAAGGCTTTAATTGCAGTAAGAACAATTGATAATGTTTAATTTTTAAAAACAATCATGCACGTTTATAATATGTAGTTTGAGTCAAAAGACGATCTCCATCAAATAAGTTTATATATGAAAGGGCGTACCTGGATCTGTAAAGAAAAATAAACATTTTTTTCTCGAAATATTTAGAGAAAAAATTGTTTTTTTCCTCTACATATCCAGGTACGCCCTTTTATATAAACGTCTATAATAGTTTCGCATTTTCATACCAAAATCTTAAATTATTATTTGACTAATAGTTAATAAATAAGCATTCAATAGAAATTAAAGCATGGAGATTAGACAGCATTGCTCCGATGTTGTAAGTCACTAAATACCCAATGACAAGCGTAACTTTTCTGAATATAGAGAATACCTCTCTTCTTAACTACTTCAGGTTCAAATTCAATGCGATTTGTTTGAAATTTCCTGCAGATATTTCCTCCTATCCTTTCTGAATATATTGTAACATAGTATTTATTAATTTTATTATTTTTTATTTAACAGAGTGGTCATTTTTATGTTTTATATCTTGCGACTCTGTAAATTTCCTTCGTAGCTTATCTTTTGTTTACTTTGGATAGTTTGTCCTTCCCTGAAATAAATTTTGTTTCCTCCTAATTTTCCACGTGGCAATATTATTATCTTTCTTAACTGAATATATATCGCTACAAGGTACCTATTTCTTGTAGTTTCCCAGAAGGCAGAGCTTCCGCTTGAAGACATATTCAAAGTTGCAAGCCTGGGAAGACCTCAAACCTCAGAAAACAGTTCTGTTCCTTCAAAATAATTTACCACTGTTTAGGTAGTGGAAGTTTAGTCGAATAAGTTATTTGAACTCTTTTTTTATATAGATAGAGTGTGTATATTTAATAACGATAGTTATACTGTAAAATATTTTATTTTAAAGGTATATCCCTTTAGGTATTATATACTTAAAATATTCCTGTATTTTGTCCCACACTTTCCTGTGGATCACCTGGACCATTGGAATATTCGACCAAATTCTAGTCAAAGGTGACTAACATGGAATCGGCATCCATATCCCAATAAATGGACACAACAATAACATTTAAACAACCATATATTCATACATTGACCTTTACATTTTTTTGTTTATTCCAAGTACACGTTATACAGGCCATTATAATCATGGTGGGTAGAAGTAGGCGACTGCTTTTACTGTAAGTGCACCACATATCTACACATGTGAAAAGCAGTTCGATTTTGCGCTTACAAATGTGTTATAGCCCCGTTTAGTTACTTACACTCCCTGGTGGGATTGGACTTTTGCAAGAATCAGGGGCCATTGGAGCATTTTTTTTAAATCCGAAAAAAGTGCCTAATGCGGGAATCGAACCCGGGTCATAGTGGTCGAAAACCAACGGTTTAGACCATCCTTCCACCAACTCCTTTTTAAAAATATGAAATTTTATATACACAAACATTAAATATAATAATCTATAAATATATTATAATGGAATATATTAACAGAAATAAGATGGAAGCACAAACTTACCTCTTCAAATTTTTTGTCTAATTTTTCGATGTTCATTAAAGAAGGAGGATAGGCTATCACAGCAGTGATGTTATCCAGCTACGTATCACAAATATTTGTTAGATAAAAATCAAATCGAATAAAAAGTATTAATTTTATTCTGTGTTTGGTAATATTTGAATATTGTAGGTTAGAAAATTAGTCAAGATAAACTTTAGGCTGATGAAGCAATTTATTTAAGACACAAGCACTGGATCAACAACATGAGGCATCACTAGAAAGAGGGATCAATAATTAGAAACAATTTCAATTGAAATATTTATTGAAAATTAGAATATATAAGTTATATAAAAATATAATTAAAATTATATATCATAGATTCAAATATTCTGCTAAATCGACCGCCAGAGGTCACGCTTTGCATATAAAAACTCGTTGTTGTTTTTTCCCGATGGCCGGCTCAAAACTTTTATACATTATGTAAATAATGTTTTGGTTTCCTTGTTCTACTCGCCTTAAGCCAGGCATTACTTTAATAAAATTATGTTTTTTTATATATTCTATAAGTTCAATTAAAGCAATATCTGATCAAAACTATTTTATTATTATTCCCACAACTGCAAAACAATATCATAAAATACTCATGGATGCCAAAATCAACCAACAGCTAATAATTAATGAATAACAATCAAAATACTAGCAGAAAATATATTTTTTCTAATTATTTTATATAATATATATACAGTTGTAGGATTGTTGTTGCGTGATGTGTTGGTGTGGCTTGTGGAAAGGTTGCTGATAAAATTATAATTAAAATTAATTATATAAAGCCAGAAATATAAAAATAGAAAAGAAACAACGGTTGAAGTAACGGCCGTTGGAGCAAGCCTATATGTTTACCGCTGAGTGGCCAGAGTCTCCTGATCACGTCCCGCTCGCATGCGTAGTCAGGATGACGCTCGCGGTTGCCGATGCCTTCCACTGCCCCCTGTGTGTAGTGGAGCTTTGTCAAAGTGTAGTCGCCGAACTACTCCCCCTCCAGTAGGATCTTTCCAGCGATCCTATGCAATCTTATTGGCTTGCCAAGTTCGGGTCTTGGGAAAACATCGGTCCTTTTGATGTGAAAGCAGGCTTGAGGCGGTCGATTGACACCCACGTGGATCTCTTTTTAATATTCAGTTTGTAAATTTTGGGTTTCCAAAAAGGACTTCATATGGACCGTCGGTTCGGTAGGCGAGCTTGCAGAGGGGGGTCCTCGAAAAATGTTCCTGGAAGGGGTAGGGGCTTCCCATAGACCAGCTCAGCGGTTGTGGTGTTGAGATCTTCCCTTAGCGACGAACGAATCCCTAGGAGCACCAGGAGAAGTTTCAAGGACCAGCTCGTGGAATCGTGACAGCGAAGGGAGTCTTTCAGCTGCCTGTGGAATCTTTCTACTAGTCCGTTTGCTGCTGGGTGGTAGGGTGATGTCCTTATTATGTTGATTCCCAGAAGCCGTGTCAACTCACCGAAAAGTGCTGATTCAAACTGCCTGCCTTGGTCTGTAGTCACTTTTGCTGGCACGCCAAAACGAGATATCCAGACCGATAGGAAGGCATTTGCTACTGTTTTGGCGGTGATGTCCTGTATGGGTAGGGCTTCGGGCCACCTAGTGAACCGGTCGACGCAGGTGAATATTTTACGATAGTTTTCACTCGGTGGTAGTGGTCCAACCAGGTCAATGTGAACATGACTGAACCTTCCGTCTGGGGGACTAAGCGACTGAAGGGGCGTTCTTGTGTGTCTAGTGGTTTTGGAGACTTGGCAGCGGTGGCAGGCGCGAGTCCAAAGTGCGCAATCCTTCTTGACGGCCGGCCAGACGTAATGGGCGGTGACCATCCTTGTAGTAGCTCGTACTCCGGGGTGAGACAAGTTGTGGTATGCAGAAAAAATTATGCGGCGAGAGGATGCGGGTACGAATGGCCTGGATTTTGCTGTGGAAACGTCACAGTACAGGGAAATGTTCGTTTCTGGGATTTGTACTTTTTCCAGTTGTAGTGAACTGCGGTTTTCCGATGTCAAGAGAGCTTGTAGCTCCTGGTCTACTGCTTGCGCTTCGGCGAGGGATTTCCGGTCATAAGGTTGGTGATGGGAGATGGGTTTCACACGTGACAGGAAATCTGCAGGTACATTTTCACAGCCCGCGATGTGGCGGATGTCTGTTGTGAATTGCCCGGTGAAATCGAGGTGTCGACATTGGCGCGGTGAGGCTTTGTCCAGATTTTGTTGAAAGGCGTATGTGAGAGGTTTGTGGTCCGTATAGACCGGAAATTGTCGCCCTTCCAATAAATGCCTGAAATGCTTGATAGCCAAGTATATTCTTTGTGCAGCGTCTAGTTTCCTTGAAAAACGCTATTGGTTGGAATTTGTTGCCAACCTGCTGGTGAAGCGCATCTACCGTAAGACAGAGAGGCGCTTCTGGAAAAGGATGGTACAAGAGGGCAGCGTTGGCTAGTTGAAACTTGCACTGGTCGAAAGCCTGGAGTGCTGTAGGCGTCCATTGGCAGGATGCGTTCTTGCGTCCTTCGACCATGGCGTGGAGTGGTGCCTGAGTACTAGCGGCATTGGGGAGGCAGCGCCGATAAAATTTAACATACCCAGAAAACGTCGAAGTTTTCCGACAGTATCAGGGATTGGGATGTCTTTAATTGCTTGTACTCGCTGAGGGTCCGGCGAGATTCCGGCGTTGGTGATGATAAACCCCAAGAATTTGACTGAAGGTTGGCCGAAGGTGCATTTGGTTTCGTTGATCGTCAGGCCGTAGTCTCGAAGGCGACCAAAAAGTTGTTGAAGATGGGATACATGTTGAATTTCTGAATCGGATGCGATAAGCACGTCGTCAATGTATGCATATGCAAAATCCAAACCTTGGAGTACTTCGTTGATGAGCCTTTGAAAGGTTTGGGGTGGGTTACATAGGCCAAAGGACATGCGGGGAAACTCAAAAAGGCCGAAAGGCGTAATAACGGCAGTCTTAGGGATATCTCTAGATTCCACGGGCACATGGTGGTACGCTCTAACCAGATCGATAGTAGAAAATATTTTCTTACCATGCAGATGCGATGCAAAGTCCATAATGTTAGGGACTGGATATCGGTCGGGCACGGTAGCGGCATTCAGTTTCCTGTAGTCTCCACATGGTCGTAGCGAGCCGTCTTTTTTGGGTACTAGGTGGAGAGGGCTGGCCCAAGGTGATTTGGATGGACGACAGACGCCTTTCTCCATCATTTTCGTTATTAGAATTCTTTCTTTGCCGCGGCGAGTTTGTCCGTGGGGAGTCGTCGCGGTTTTGCTGCAATCGGGGGGCCCTTTGTGACGATATGATGAGTCACTGAGTGACGGGGAGGACCTTTTACAAGATTCTGACTAGTGAGCTCTGGGAATTGTCTGAGTATCCTGGAGTAAGGCGAATTGGCGATTGTAAGGTGAATGCTAACAGCGGGGGAAGGGGAAACTTGTCCAATGGAGTGAAGGTAAGATACTGGGTCGCTCAGCCGGTGATTCCGCAGGTCTACTGTCAGCCCGTAATGTCGGAGAAAGTCTGCGCCGATGATGGACACGCCGACGTCGGCTATGATGAAAGGCCAACGGAATATTCGTCCGAGACCGAGGTCAAGCTCAAGATGTCGTTCCCCGTAAGTGTGGATGATAGATCCGTTAGCTGCGAAAAGCTGCCTGTGCGAGGGCCTAGCGTTTTTTACTGGTGGTGGAATCACTGAGACTTCGGCTCCAGTGTCGACCAAAAACAAATAGGCGCTGCGTCGGTCCGTAATGAAGAGCCGGCGAGTAAGGCCTGCGCCGTCAGTGGCTCCTACTGACGGCGGGCGTATTCGTTTCCGTGGAACTTGAAGTTGCATGGTTGAAGGCACTTCTTAGCTTGCGCTCCAAACTTCATATGGTACCAGCAAGTTCCTGCGTTTCTTTTTTTGTTGTGGGTCGGGTACCTAGCGTTCGGATAGCGATTGTGTGGGGTGTCCATGGATGACTTCAAAGCTTCGATTTGCGTATGCAGGTCTTGGATTTGCGTCATCAGCTGTTGGTGGGCTTCCACGCTATGACCTGTGCTTGGTTGGTCCACTGCTGAGACCATTGGCAGTATGGCTTCGGGTATGTTGTCTGCCATTTCCGCCAGCTTACTCAAACTTGTTTCAGAGGATGCTGCGAGAGCGGCCCTTATGTCCTGAGGTAGGCGTCGAGTCCACAGCATTTTCAGTACTGTATCGTAGAAATTTCTTCTTGCCTGATGTTGCATCGCGGCTAGGACTGTTGATGGCTTCTGATCTCCCATGGGACGCCCATCCAGAACCTGTAAGATTTTAGTTTGTTCTGATTGACCGAGTCGTTGAAGAAGGCATGCTTTCAGCGCATCGTATTTACCAGAGGGTGGGGGGGGGGGGCCTTTACGATGTCCGCGACCTAAGTAAGGGTTGGCTGGTCTAGGCTCGTTACCGTTGCTTGGAATTTAGTTTCGTCGCGGGAGATCTCGGCTAGACCGAAAGCGGCTTCTAGCTGGCTTATCCACAGTTCAACGTCGTTGGGCCAGAATGGTGGTGCACGGAAAGCCAATCTTGATATTTGGGAGGGTGCCGTGGATGTTGGCCCTTCCGGTTGTTCCGTAGTTGCGTCTTGCATTCTGGGGCTGTTGAAGTTTCGTGGATGAAATAATAATAAAAAATATAGAAGTGTGATTAAAATAACTTTTGCATCACGTCCGGCTCACCAATTTTGTAGGATTGTTGTTGCGTGATGTGTTGGTGTGGCTTGTGGAAAGGCTGCTGATAAAATTATAATTAAAATTAATATTTTTAAAGCCAGAAATATAAAAATAGAAAAGAAACAACGGTTGAAGTAACGGCCGTTGGAGCAAGCCTCTAAACC